GATGTTCTTGCGTCAACACACAACTCGAAACCAGAAAACTGGAATATGTATTAGCGCGTGCAATGAAGAAAAAATAGCCTATATAACTATAATAGTTTAAAATAGAATTTCTTATTTTATTATAAAGGGAATCTACTTTATACTTCACTTTTTAAGTGCTGGGAAAAAAAGAGTAAATATGTACATTTGTTGCAGGACAAATTAGTTGTTTTCTTCCATTAATATTCCAACGAATAATTCTTTCACCTGAAGCAACTGGCTTCTTTTGAACTAGAAATGTGGATTTTGACTTTAGATTTTCACCAATGTCGAGGTAATATAACATTCCTACATATCTTATGAAATATTACTTTTAGGAGATTTACAGAAAAGAGCGTGATTGAACATGCAGCAGTGGTTTAAGCATTTCTATACCTCATTTTCATGTAAATCTCAATAGGCAATTTTTCAGTGCCCCTTAAAAACATCCTGCACTAATTACAGAAGTGCCGACAACATTCAACATGTTCCTTAGGTCCCCCTCAACACTTTTACACTGGTCGCTTGAAATCATCACAAAAATCCCTCTGAAATTTTTTCAGCGACATATACTCCCTGAATAAAGCGTTCATCTTTTAAAAGTGTGCTGAATCTTCGTAAAGCGTACAAATTTAAGAGTTTGCTGAAGGTCTACTATCGATCTGTGTTTAATGAATCTTCCAAAGCGTTCATCTTTCAAAAGTTTGCTGAAGGTTTACACCCTGAGTAAAATTTTACTTTGGATTAAGCCTTCATATTTTTCTTTGGAAAATGCGTGCGACTCCTGGTGCATGTATCAAACCGGGCTGTTTAGCTTGGCGGCCGTAGTTCCACAAAGTAAATCTACCAAGTTGTGTAGCTTGGCGGCCGTTGTTCCACAAAGTAAATCTAACGAGATGTGAAGCTCGGGGGCGCTATTTCATCATGACTTGTGATATTTTCGGCACCGGACAAACGAACATTTTAGCTCTATGTTATTAATTCGGAAAAACGTGAGCAGCCCACAGTAGCGCCACTCAAGTCACTGAAATCAATACACTCGAAAAAAAATGTGGTCCGACTTGGGTCGATCGTTAAAATCATCACAAGTTAAGAAGACTTGCTAGCTAGTAACGGTTTCATTTCATAGTAAATTTCAGTATTGTCTGCATGTGGGATTCCCAGTAAATAGAGTTAATGTCTACATCGAAATTTGAATTCAGATGTGAAAGCTTCATTTTGTCAACAAGTTGATGATTGGATGGTCTGGAAAATAGCAGAGAAAATTATCCAAAGAAATGTTTTTGAACAAAAGAAAAAGAAACCCGGGTTAAGCGCTAATCGGCTTTCGAACAACTGCGCCCTGCAGAACATCTATTGCACCAATAAAACAACACGTTCTTTCTACACGCTCGACGCACTCTGGCCAGTGTCTCCTCAAATTACAACCACTTGAGACGACCCATGCGATATCACTTTGACCACTAGCCTTCAAAACCTTTTCATAATGATACACAGTTTAAATAGAAGTTTCGCTGTACGCAACCCTTGCGTTCAAAATATGCTATAATCCCCGGAGTAGTCAATCGATAAAGATCGGTAAATCTGATTTGATTGGCATCGATTGTATCGACCAATCGGTAGAAATCGATGACACACTCGTTTCGTTTATCGATTTATCTTGATTTTACCGAATCCACCGATTTTTATCGGAAGATACATCTGTTCTTCTGTTCATCCAAAAATGAAAACTGATTTCATGAAAACAGTGAATTTGTTGACAACTGAGCTGCAATTGAGAGTCGAGGGATCAAACAATTTACAATCCCTTTTTTTTAAAAAGTTAAAACAAATATTATTTATTCTTTAAAACCCGCTTTAAATTCAATAAAGTCTTCTTCGGATGACCGATATTGGTCAGGTTTGCTAGGTTGGCCAGGCTTTATATTTTTCCCAGTTTTTCACGATTTAGATCTGCCACCCTTTCAAAAAAGTTCCGCGTGTATTTACCTCTCGGAGTAGCCAATAGATAAAAATCGAAATCGATAAAGTCGTTAGCGATCAAGTGATTTTTTCGATTGGTAACGGAAAACGGTGAAAAGCTATCCAGAGAAATCTTTTAGTCTGAATTTCGGGCATCCCTTTGACTCTAGAGGATGTCTGAAATTCAGGCTGGGAAATCTTTTATCTAAGGTTGTATTTCTCGTGGTACTTGCCTGCGAGAACTGCGAATGTAATTAAACCGAACCGTTTCTGTTATCATGTACAAAAGGATCACGGTTTTAGAGATAATTGTTTGTCTGTAATAGTTTCCACAATTCTTATTTCCTATTTGTTGATCAGTTGTTGCTCGTCATCGATCACGTGTTTTCTCAGCTGTACTATTTAACTTATGCCAAAAAAAACAACGATGTCGGAGTTACCGTTATAAATCGTTAAAATCATGAAAAATCCATAATATCGATATGACACTGCAATTTGATTTATCGATTTTCACCGATTTTCGTTATCAATCGATAAAAATCACTTGATTGCTATCAATTTTTATCGATTGACTACTCCGGGTATAATCATAGTTATTTATCGCAAGAGCCATCCACCCTTCCCCCTGAACTGTTACCTATACGCCTAACAAACATATGCATATCGAACGCATTGTCGTAAGCTCCGATTACTCCTATAATATATCGGTTAAGCCGGGGCTAAAAGCGAAGTAGCCTGCGAACTGCAGACGTATTTCCGGTCGTCGCTTCTCTCTCCCCGAAAATAGCGTCTGCGATCTCGAGCTGCGAAACGATTTCCCGGACATCGTTTGTTTTCTTCTGTCCTCAACCAATTAAATTGAGTGATAGAAAGATGCCACTGATTGCACGCGCGAAAAATCGCAAGGACCGCCAACTGTTGATGTAGCTATGAGAGGGAAAACGCCGAAAAAAGTTTCCTCGGTCAAAGTACATTGTTTTTTTCTTTTTCGTGTAAAATTTCCAGTCTGAAGGAGAAAGTGAAGATCATTAGCGAGAGTGAATTGGAGATTTGTGCGTTAATCTATCGGCCCCAGTTGAAGTCGATTTCAGTGTCCATTTTTCTGTTTACGTCGGTTGAAGTAGCCTGCAAACGGCAGATGTTTCTCCTTGCTCATCGCGTCTGAGGGACGACTTTTACCTCATGTCAAAAGCTGCTTGTTCCAATATGTTTTTTCCTCTGACGGGTAGATTATGCTGGAGGGGTTCTACGTTTCGACTGAGCAAATGTTATTTTAGCCGCTTGTTTCACACTGAGAGGTCATGACCCGCTTATGCATTTTCTGTGGTTTTTGTTTCTGGTCGGGAAGATGATTTGTCCTATGATGCAAGATCATTTTCTGTGACCGCTTTTGAGGGGTAAAGCTCTTTATTGCGGCTGAATAAGGGTTTTAGGTTCTTCAATTTACTCCAAAGTGCCTTCTGGATCTGAATAACTGGGCGATTTTCTTTAGTCCGTGAGTGTGATGTTTTCCTGCAATGTTGAGTCACGCTGGGCCCAGCTCGTTTCGTCTTGTTTCATGATGTTTAATTCTTACGGATAGCGATGAACAGATTTAAATTTAGAAGAATGAATTGCAGCCTAAAATATAGCTTCATCAACTATTTGTACGATTCTCTTGCCGACATTCTTCGCCTTCTTACGTTACCAAGCCAAGATTCTGGTGATCCGTAAACGATAGAATTTTATCCTGCTTTTTATCTTTTTATGTTCGCCGCCGAGCTGATATCACTAAGCGATATCGCGTTGTACTGCAAGCAAAGATAAACGCCTCACTTGAACTTCTATGAGACTGAATAGCGGAAAAATAACAATTACATGTTATTCTCACATTTATCTATTGAAACAAATCTTGGAACGCGACAGACTATCCATAACCAGTCGGTAATCCGCATCAAGGTTCATAAACATCACTTTTTAATTCGATTACTTGTCGAATTGCTTCTTCTTGGTGCTTGTTTAAGCTTCTCAAATCCGAAAATATTGCATACTTTGGCAAACGCGTCTTCTAGTGAACTCCTTATCCTTTATCTTTTCTTGCGTTTAGCGAGATCTCCACGTAAACCCCACGCGTGTTAGCTCCACAAATATAAGAGCCGAATGATCATTGGTTAATAAACACTGACTTCACGGAAATCGTGTTGCAGCTCGAGATCGCAGACGTTATTTTTCGGAGGGAGGGAAGCGACGACAGAAAATACGTTTCCACTTCGCAGGCTAAAAGCAAAGCTCCCGTTAATAAATTGATAATTTAAATTAAACAATAAACTTGTAATCCACAGATCGGTTAACTTTAGGTCACATTCATGTGAATTTTAAGGGAAGGCTAAGTGATTTTAGAGAAAAAAAAGAGTTTGCAAACAGTACAATGAAAGGTTAAACAAATTTTACATCGAGTTAATAGTCTTAACGTGCACCCAAAAAATAGCAATCATCTTCGATCAAAGTACATTAGGCCTAAAAAACAAATTATTCCTAAACCAAAAAACTCAGTTGCCCACCTATACACCACCTTGCTATTTTATAAGGTTAATTGGACAGCCCGAAATATAATTTTACGCGATAGGGCCGATTATAGGACACCATAGTCCTCGGTGACAGTCAATTTACACGTTGCAGTTTCTAGGTTGCATTTCTTTGTCAAAAGGCAGGCCAAAATAAAAACAAAATCAGGCTGGAATTATTTGTGTTCGACAAGTTTACTTTACAAAATCTTGCCGACAAATCTGGTGGCGTGTAAACCAGCCTTTTATACTTTTTAGTATATACTAAAACAGTGGGTAGCGTTTTTCACGCATTCTGATTGACTACTCAATCAGTGAATATCCAGTGCTGTTAGTTCCTCCGAATATTTCTCGTTCTATAAGCCATCCACAGAAAAAAATTTCCCTTTTAAACAAATAAGAAACACCGGTGCTACTAGTTATAAAAAGAAGATAAAATACTTCAAGCCGGATAAGAAACATCACATGAATAAGGTGTTAGATGAGGAATGAGCAGGACTGTGACAGACAAACAATTTTTGCTATTGACTTACCAAGAAGGAGTCCAATGACCAAGGAGTTGGCAACATAAATCAAGCCATTGAACAGAAGGGTATCCATGATTGGGTCGACTGATGACGGAAAACTTTCATCTGGGATTGAGCTGACGGCTCCGATTGCAAGGTTTACGAAGGTAACGGCAAGTGAAGACAACATAAGCTTGTTTTCGAATGGATCACTCATTGGATTTTTTAACCCGAAATACATACTAAACAGTCCAGACGAAACCAAAGCCAATCCAATGTACGCTCTGCTCTCGCCACCAAGAAGGATCAATCCAGAGGTCAAAATAACCTTTCGAGCTGTCTCCACCGCTTCCCAATACCAACAACGAGAGTGGTAGTTCTCGTGTAAGAACCATAATGCCGTTTGCACCGTGCTTTGGTCTTCAAGAGCATTTGTGTCGTTTGTTGCTTCCTCCTTAGCTTTCCTTTCTGCTCTTTGCTGTTTCCAAATTGCTATAAAAGCAGCAACAGGCAGAACAATCACATACACAGTGGAACAGTATCCCACGAAGACAAATCGGTTGTATCTCTCCCCTTTACAGTTAATGCTGTAGTCGGCTTTCAAATATTGCTCGCATCCTTCATCTTTCTCCTGGTCAACGCAGATCCTGTGGCAGGTAAGGGGCAAAACTTGGGCTGTTTTTAGGCAAGTGTTCAGGTAGGTCACGTAAAGAAAGAAAAACAGATTTCTCTTTACGACCATTTTAATTTGTTCCTTTTTCCTTATTTTTTCTTCTTCATTCAAAATATGTCGTGTTGATTTCCAAGTGGCAAAGGCGAAGCTTGCAAGGGCCACAATCACCGCTACAAAATTCAATCCCATAACTGCAAAAAGACTTGCGAATGCGTCAAATTTCAAGCTGGGAATGATGCAGTGGAGGGGGGCTATCTGAACAATGTTAACCTGAACAATCTCGGAATATCCTCCAATAACTGAGAGACTTTCAGGCCACTTAATGTATGAAAACGCTTCCATGATACCAAAAGTCACTTGATAAAAGCCAATTGTAACTTTAATACTTCCAAGGGCCTTGTCAAGAAAAGATCGTCCAGCATCCTTTTTGCTCTTTTTCTTGCTTCTCCACACCACGATAATAACCAGTAACATAACTATTGCCCCCATAATTGCAAGCTGTCTGATTATCCCTCCTTTAGTTGGGCACAGTTTGCATTTCTTCAGTTGTTTGTAATATCCATCACTGCAAACTGCACATAGTGGTCCTTCATAACCAGAATTACATGAAGAATTCAAACCTCCCTTACAAGCTTCTGTCATGGGGCATCTGTACGGATGAGGAATGGTGTACGGGTATACGATACGGGAATCATTCGCGTTGTGTAATTCAGGAGTAAATGAGGAGTCCTTTGCAGTTTTGGTGAAGTTTCTGTACAGCTCACGGTGTGTCTTACTCTTCCATTTCCACCAAAAGCCATCTTTAAGATTTGTGCAATCATCTTGACATTCTGATCCTAGCTCGCATGGCTTACAAACCCCAAACAAATTCGTACGGTAATGATCTTTCAAACATTTGCAGGCGCGAAATCCTGCAAATGCAGTTGTGTCAGTTCCTGTCAAACAAAAGAAATGAAACAAAATTGTTCAAACGAATTGTCGTAATATGTGAGATATAGTTGCATAAATTAATAAGGTTAAGTTTCTCGGAAACAGTTAGCACTTTTCAATAACACGCGAACGCAGAAATTTAAGAACCGTTCTCAGTAAATATCGAGAATCCGGCGCCAGATCAAAAAATTCGAATTTTTTTAATTTCACCAAAAAAAGACCCTTTTGGTAAACTATTTTCAAAAACAATATTCAAAAGATCCAGCGAAGCTCCGTTTTTGCGAAAAACAGGAATGTTTAAAATCGGCCTAAACCTGGTCGAAGGCCCGAAGCAAATTATGCAAATCACGGCATTTTCAAAACGCTCGTACGAGAAAGCGAAAGCTAATCTATTTCATCTTTACAAAGTTTGTTGCACATTTCTTAAAGTTACTTTCAAGCTATACTTTATCTTGATCTAGGCTTTCTTTCTATTTTAACACCCGCGCAAAGAAAGTAATGTTTCGTGCTTTGTTGATACAGTGAATTTTACCATATTTCAGAATGTTATAGCATCAAGGGTATATATATATTTAGCCGGTGTGAAAGGGTCCTTTTGAAGAAACCATTCTTCCTGTATGTCATACTAAAAGCCTTTTTGGCTCACCAAAAGCGAGCGCGCTAGACGAAAACGTATATGTGTGATTTGAGGGGTTTCTCCATTTTACCTCCTTTTGCTCGCTGTTGTCTTACTTCGTTGATTGACACTTTTTCAACCAGGAAAACTCAGTGTTTGGTTTCTATTGCGGCATATTATTCGAATTCAGACTGCAGCAGCCCTTGACAAGAAAATAAGTTTGACTAAACTTTCTGAGCCAAACTTTGGAAAGTTCATTTACTCGTAATCTCTGTTATCACCAATTGTAAACAAACACTGGCGTACGATACAGATCCGAATACTCCGGTGACCTGAGATATCAGAGAATCTCACTTCTCGAAGTCCTCGAATTTTCAGTAAACGTCACTTACCCGTTTGTATTAATCAGGCCCAAGTGACAAAGTTCCTTATGCAAAGAACATGCACCTGACCTGAAAATATTGCCAGTGACTGGACTGGACTGGAAGTTTCGAGAATCAGTTTATTCTAAACCATAAGAAAAGATTTAATAATAAGTTGAATTTTTCGCCATTTTTCTTTCACTTTTTACATTCAGTTCATTTTCTTTGCCGGAAAGGAAGCCTTAGAAATTTAATAAAAGGACGTTTGATTAATTCACACTCGCGCATTCTAGTCTTATTTTAAACTTTATAGCGGAAGGACATCTATGAGCAGGGAATAAGTCAGCACAGAATTTGATTGTTGGCGAATTTCTCTAATCGTACATCGTTCTGCTAGTGAGAAGCTAGCTGTTGCTCACTCGTCTTGCTTGTTTGGAGCTGAGTCTTATTCCGGTAAAAGAGAGAGAAAGAGTGTCTGGCAAGGTTTCCAATGAACGATTTGTGAACTCGTGTCTAACAAACTCTCCAAGTATTTATATATACACATTTATACGCACCTTATAACTTCTTCTGCGCTTAATGAAATTTTGGTCCATAACTTTCACTGAAACAACTGCTCCACAGAATGTCACTGATAACCGCGTAACGCAAAAGAGCGTCGAAGTATGACTGCACAATAAATGTCTCAAAATCTACCTAAGCGGTCTCTTGGGGATGTTCTTTCTTTACGTCATCCTAACCATTTCGTACTTGCGGACGCAATAATAGAAACGTCATCATTACCTACCGATTCCTCGCGGCCCCTGTTCAAGCAAATCGAGATTTTTTCTATATTGACTTTATGACTGTATATTTCAACTGTAAGTACTTTCCTTAATATACGCGCGAGTTACTAGAGTGCCTCCTCGGGATTTCGAGGGTCCGCCTGCACGTTTAGGGATGGTTTGAGTTTTCTTATAAAGAGCATCTCCTTAATTAGGCAATCAAATTTGTTAGAACCTTTAGTGAGGACGTGAAATTGTTCTGAAAGAAGAGGTGGTACGTCCGAGTTATGTTCGCTAAGATAATGTTTACAAATTGACGACGATTTCTGTTTGTGTCCATCAACGCGTTCGTGGAGGTGGCCGCGAGTATAACCAACATATCCTGCATCGCACATTGTTGGTTAACAATGGCTGGCTTGACTTCTCGAAATTTAAGGTCTTCGTTGAGTTTTCTGCTGATGAACACGGGCTGAAAAGTGGTCTTGATTTTTAAGCTCGATTCGCGCAAAGGTATTCACTTGAAGAACTTGTGATCCTTTGTTATTATGCTAATTTGTAGAGACTATAGAAGTCAAATCTTCGCATTATTTATTCATTTTGCCTTAAGAATGGTGTCATGATGATACCGAAACGTTGGCTTTTAACGTTAATATTCGCTTGCTTATGTTTTAAGAAATCGTTTTTGATCAAGACTTTAAATACATCTAAATTAGTAATAGACTGAAACTCGTCTGGGAGACTATTCCACAGCTTTTGGCCACTGAAGGTAAACGCGCGCTGACCTGCAGCCGTCCTACAGGGTCGTACATGTAGGCGGTCCCTATTCCTAGTGTTGCAGTTGTCCACTTCCGTTCTTGTTTTAAACTTCTGACAAAGATATGGGGGTGCAAGTCTATTTAAGCATTTAAATTCCATGGTAGCATCCATAACCGCAAGTTGTTTAATAATTAGCAGCCACTGTAACTGCTTAAGAATAGGTGTAACATGATCAAATTTCCTCGTTCCAGAAATTATCTGGGCTGCGTAAGGATCATAGCATAAGGATCTTTCCCTCGCAAATGGCTTTTTTCTTTACATTTACAACATCTGTGGTAACCAATCTTGGTCAGAGACCGCGAAGCCTTAGGCTGAGTGGGCTATATCCCCGCCAATAATACCATGGATTTTTTAAGTCTTCTAATCTTTATGTTTAAGCAAACACAATTTCCTTTGCTACATGTACGTTTTTGTGCAGAAAACCAGCGGATTGGTGATAAAAATTGGGCAAAATCAATCTCAGAATTGGTAGAAATTAACCCAAAAAATTCTAACTTTTACCATTTTCTGTGTAAGCATGCTCCCGAACCCCTCTAGATAAAATTTCGCCTATATTCGCCCTAGTATTATAGGATGTTTGAGTGAGATTGTGATCTCTGTTCCTTAAATTGTAGAGCAATATACGAGGTTCGAATAAATCAGAAATATAGTCAGCCCTATTTCGTTTTATACAGTTAAAAAGGAGGATAAGAGATTGATAGCACCGTCCATGTTCTAGTGATTGCATGTTTACAGCGACAATATGGAATCATAATCTAAGCTGTTTCCGAAATTTAAGAGGGCTTTTAAAGCTTAATAGTTTGCCGATTCACGTTTCTTGTTCAAAGTTTTGTTAATCCCTAATTGTAATGGCCTACAATATTCAAGATGTGGAAGTATATAAGCCTTGTACAGCGTAAGTGCGATGTCAGCAGGCACCAGCTTTCTAAGTCGTCTCAGAGCTCCAACCTTGGCATAGACCTTCTTTAAAAACTTTAATGGGTGGTCGTTAAAGGACAACTTATCGTCGATATGAACACCAAGAATATTCAGGAAGCCATTTATTCCGCTAACAGAGTCGCCAATATGAAGAGCAGGTTCATGGGAGTGCTTACCAGGATCATCGCATGGGTTTTCTTGGCATTGACGGACAAATAATTTGAGGCAAACCAGGATGAGCGATTCTCAAGATCTTCAAGACACAGTTCCAAAGCCGAAATGTTGGTATTGGTAACCACAGCGTAACAAAAAAAAACGCAGTCCGTATTTGGCCGTCTCTTTTAAGATGCTTTTTGGGGTACTTCTTCCAAACAAGTGTATCGCATTTTAATTTCGTGATAATTGTCACGCAACATCGCGTCGCTGGTTGCCGGCATGACAGTTTTTTAACACATCCAATGTGTTGTGGTTACAATTGACAATCGCTTTAAATTTCTGGTTTACAAACAAGTAAGTCCTTTTTTCTTGAATTAAGTGAAGACGTGATCAGATCGTAAATCAGAGCTTATCTGCTAACGGCAACTGCCCAACAGTATGAACGTCTTTTTTGTCCAGTCAAGTTTCAGTGACTACTTAAATGTTTTCCAAATAAAGTAATGTTTTGTGATAAGCTGAATGCAAAAGCAACCTAATTTTAATTCGATGATGGAAAAAAGATAGCAAGGAAAGAAAAAAAAACATCGAGCACTCATATGGTTACGGCCATTTGAAGTTTCCTTTTCGTGTATTATAATTGCCCTCCATTTAAACTTTTTGCTGGCATTCTGAATATTTAATTATTTTTACGTTAAAGAACAATACATGTTTCTCGGATGGTTATTTCTACCTTTCTTTCTGTCTTTTTCGATGGTTTGGAAGCAGAAAAGCAGAATGTGGGATTAAGCAGGACCGACAGTCGGCATGCAGCAGGAGGACCAGGAGCCGAAAATTTTTACCACCTGTTGTTTCATAAGTTTGTCACGCCTAATCTATAATTTACCAGAACACTTCACCAGAACACCAAAACGTATGTAATAAAGATGGAATGCTTTGCAAAATGTTCCTTAGCTAAAATATATCAATTTTAATGAACAAAAAGTGGTCTTACAAACAACAGCAAGGTTCTTGATGCAGAGAATGTTACTACTATCAATGTTGGCTGAATACATTAAGAACGGAAAAATCGTTAAAGTGTACTTGATTCATTTTCGTCTAGCCCGCTCGCTTTTGGGGACCAAAAACAAGCTTTTAGTATGACAAACAAGAATAATTGTTCTTTCTAAAGAATCCTTTCACAGCCGCTAAATATATATACCCTTCATGCTATAACATTCTGAAATATGGTAAAATTCACTGTGTCAACAAAGCACGAAACATGCATTACTTTCTTTGCACGGGTGTAAAAAAGAGAAAGAAAGCCTAGATCAAGATAAAATACAGCTTGAAAGTAACTTTGAGAAATATGCAACAAACCTTGTGAAGATGAACTATAGATTAGCTTTCGTTTTTTCGTACGAGCGTTTTAAAAATGCCCTGAATTTACATAATTTTGGGAACTTTTACAATTGTTAGGCAATGAATACGGCAGGAGATAGAACGTGCATAATTACGTCACGACTTAGTGATTTTAAGTCACAGGGAGCTTATACCCAAATAAAAGCTGCAAAACACGTCATGTCTGAGAAAAAACAGTTTCCCGCCTTTTTATACCAAGGGCCATGGCTTATAAAAGAAGATTTTTCATCATTCATTACAACGTACATGTACTTATTTAAGGAAAAAATTCTCGTTTAAAATAGTACTAGCCTACGCATGTTTTGCTTTTTTCCTTCGTTCCCCTTTTCACTTACGGTGTCCTTTCATCTTTGAGAAATAACAGTTTCCCGGGCAATTTATTTATGAGCTATTCATTAGTTTTTTTTGCTCCCAACTTTTGCTCCCCCACTTACATTTACTGGCACCGAAGAAAGCAGCATGCCTAGGAACAACTACAGTCATCGCATTTCTGAGTATAGTGCGCTTGTGCCATGTGTAAACATTTTATTCCTCTTCATGAAGTTTTTAAAGTCACAACAAAGGATACATCGAGTACATATTCCAATCTAAGTTATTTCCGTTTTTTTGTTAGTTTTCGAGGTCGCGAAAAATTTGAGCAATAGCGAAGAAAATGCCCAGATGATACGGCCCAAATGAAGCGCAAGGAGATCGATGAACGGTACAGAAGCGTATTTCCTTAACACAAATGAGCAACGCATTGAAGTTAGCGTAGCAAAGCTGCTTTGGATTTTTTTAAATAGAAATTTAACTACCGTGTACATAGATGTATATATCAACACGGGACGAAAAATTGGATTTACTGCACTTTTGACACGCGTCAAAAGTTAAGTCAAATATGGTATTGGTTTTGACTTCACCTTTGACGCGCGTCAAAGACGTCGCCAAATATATAACCTCTTTGCTTACTCCTTTGACCTCGGTAAAGGTGAAGTCAAATTGGTAACAACTTTGACTTCTCCTTTGACGCGCGTCAAAGATGAAGTCAAATGAATCAATTCTTTGCTATTCCTTTAACCCTTATCAAAGTCGTTGTCAAATATGCTGGTAACTTTGACTTTACCTTTGATGCACGTCAAAGATGAAGTCAAAAGTGTAGTTAGCAGTGACCACACCTTTGATACTAGTCAAAAATGAAGTCAAATACGACCGCTACACTTTTACAACACTTTTGAATGGTGCTGAAAGGTGAGAGGAAATATGCAATGAATTACTTCTACAAACACTTAGTCGAAACTGATATTAAGAAAGGAAATTACACATCACACATCACATCACACATTTGACCTGAGGTTCAGACACATTTGACGAAACTTTTCACAAGCCTTTGACTTTAATCACAGACATAACTTTGCCGCGCATTTGTCACACCTTTGGCCTGAATCTCAGACATATTTGAGGACGCCTTTGATAGGGGTACAAATGCTAATGAAATATACCTTTGACGCGCGTCAAAGGTAGGGGTTAAAGGCGTGACAAAAACGGCCTTTATCGCCTGAAGACTCGCCTTTGACCGCCGGCAAAGGTAAACATTTGTCGCGCGTCAAAGTTGTACAAAGGTGTGCAAAGGTGGCCTTTATCGCCCGTTTGACTTCACCTTTGACGTTCGGTAAATCCGTTTTTTCGTCCTGTGCAAGAATACAGATGATATATGTGATAGACATTTATGATTAGCCTGCGAAGAAGGCGTCGAACCGGGCATAGGATATGGAGGAAGGGAAAAAGGGAGGGGGACTGGGGAGAGAGGGTAAGGGACGCCTGCTATAAGAACCCCCTTTTGTTCATTTCTGCGGACGCTGGCGTCCGCAAATTCCTGATTGCCTGAGCCGTAATAAGTAACTTATTGGCGTGTATCCTGGCGTGAATTGGTGAGAGACAAACTTGATGCAGGCATCAAGGAAATGTGATCTACTGAACCAACTAGAACCAACTGTCTGTAATAGCTTGTTTAGCAGGCAGAGATGCTTAGGAGGTTTTGTATACTGGATTTTTTCAAACGCCGAGCGGCGACTCAATTCGATAACGATTCTTGCCAGACATCTGCAATGCCGACATTCACAAGACCGCCTTTTCCGCAAAAACATACACCGTCTTGAATGACCTTCTAAATGGTTTGTAAAGAGAGAGCTGAAGCTTTGGTAAAAGCTATTCCTTGAACTTTTTGACTATTGTTAATAATTCGCCTTTCATTATTCGAGTCTCAGGCTGGCGACTGTTTGTGAGCATTTTCAAGATGATCATTGTTTGTCGTAAACTGCGAGCAGTAAAAAAAGTCTATGTTGGTCGTGTTTGCTGCGGGAGCAAGAAAAGTAAAATGTTTTCTAGTTGAAAAAAGGCGTCTCGACTTGACAATTCCCGGTAAACAAAGTAATTAGGTTGGGACCACGCTAAGAAGCCCCACTACTTGTCATTGGTCACGTATTGTCAGTTGACGTTTTCGGATTAGTTGACAAAATAGCAAAAACTTCGGCTCTTATAGCTGGAGTTCCCTTCCCTTTTCTTCGCTTTTGCACTTTTTTCCCTTTCCCATCCCCCTTCCCTTTTTGCGCCTGCCAAGCAGACCATTTATAATACATATGAGATGAGAAGCACTTGGAAACTTTAGAGAGCACTCAACTAAAGTTGCAAGGCGATATATCATCTCCTGAAACTCTACGCGGGTTAAAACTCTGTGTCGTCCGCTTTTGCCATTTTAGGTCCATATGGACCCATGCATATTTTTCTTCCTGGATCCATTAACATTTCCATCAAAGCTTTAACAATGGATTAGCAAAATTAGCGAGGATAGAGCTGTCCAAAGGTACCTCATTTAGTACGTTTGACTAATCCCGAGAGTTAACAGACAGAAAACAAGCAACATTTGGGGAAACATTCACAACCAATTTTGCTATTTACCTACTACTTTTTACACAATAAATTTCTTCCTTTGTTGGAAAGAAACCCAACCAAAATTTCGTGCAAAAGAAAGATGATAAAGTGGGCAACAAAACTGGCTATAAAAAGAAAGGCAAAAGGAAAAAAAAGATAGCGAGAAAAAAATATCGAAATAGATTCGCAAAAGAAAAAAGAAATTTGGCCAGTGCGCATGCCCGAAAAACAAAAAAGCCGCTTAATTGCATCCAGTTAGTAGAAATTTGAGTCCTGAGTGTTGGAAGTCTCTTTTCTAGCTATTCCCATGCTAACTGGCCGAAAAACGGTTCAAAAAGAAGGATTTGGTCCAAAATGCGGCTTTTTCCTTAAAAGTGGCTGACGGCAAAGGGTTAGAAGGGACCTTACGATATGAAAATGGCGACGCCGATAAAAAAAAAAAGTCACCCAGTTACTTGAAAGTATAGAAGTTGGAACTAAACTCCACGCGGGTTAAAGGCTGGAACTAAAAGAGGGGGACGTGTCCTAGTTCAGAGAGAATAAGTACATTTTATAGCCTTGCCATTCCCGTTTTCACGTCATTTGGACATTTCACAACGTAGTTGTGCAGGGACGACAAAGAAATGTACAGTGCATGCGGAGTTGTTGGTTTCCTCATAAAAAAAAAAAACCCATTGTGTTTTAGACGTTCTCGTTACCATCGCCGTCTTGGTATCGTAAGGTCCCAAATGGCGTTGAGAGTGGCGCTTTTATTTCTAAAAATGGACCAAAAATTGACTATTTTCTTCACAAAAAGAAAGTGGTTGTTTGTTGTTGTTGTTTTTATTTTGTCTCTTGTCTCTATTTTCTTTTCTCACACCTTTCTAACTTACCCCTAGGGACGGACCATTAGAAAAGTTATGGGGGGAAGGGGAGGGAAATTTTCGAGCCACAGGAATTTTTTTTCGTTATCAAATTCCTTGTATGAATTTTTTTTAGGCCATAGAATGAATACTTTTTAGGATTAATTAGCGTGCATGAATTTTTTCATTTAATTTTTCTTGCGCGAATATTTTTTTGAACTTCGCCCGCCAAACTCCGCATAAGTTTTCTAATGGTCCGTCCCTAAATAAGTCCAGCTTCCTTAGACAGTACACTTGCAGCTATTGGCCACCTATCTGCTTCGAGTCCCCAGGCGAGCAGCACATTATATAATTTGTGTAAATTAGAATTGACATAAGATATTATTTTGCCAACACAGAACGGAGAGCTGGGTTCTAGAGTAGCGCGCGAGGGATCTCGTTTACGGGGTTTGATATAGTGACCGTTTCGTTATGCGTGTCATTCTACGGTCGCGGCCTCGCCGCGTCAACTTGCTTTGTTTACTTTAGTTTTCACTTATTCTGTTAGCCTTAATTTCGTTGCCTTCTGTACTCGTCCCTATGTTTCTTAGCTATTTTATGTAGCATCTCGTTTTCTGCTCGTATTCATGTTATTAGGCTTTATTTTATTAGTTTCGCCTTATAACCCCAAAGGGATGCCATAGCGTATAGGTTGGGGTTACACGGCCCCTATTTTTCCAATAGTTGGTTTTTTCGAGTTTACGTGTCCGGCTGTAGCGTGTTCTTAGAATTACTGTAACAGTGGAATCATTCACGTGAGTTAATAAAGTGTTTGGGCCTGGCTGACCGACACGCCCATGCTCCAAGTGTTGTTTTGTGTGTTCTGTTGTGTAGTGGAGGCAAAATACTATTTGGGTCTCATGTGGTTTCCTTTGTCAGTCCTTTCGCTTTTTAGGCGTTATAAAATGGATTTATGTTTTGTCAGGATGATTGGAATTAGCAAGCTTATGCAGTAGTGTCTTCATAACTTAATTTAAAATCGTTCCACTCTCGTTGTGTTATTCCAATTTGCGCTACCTTTTACTCATTGTGGCGCTCGTAAACACTTTCAAAATCACAAAGAAATCGTGACTCCCCTGTACTCCTTTATCCTACTAATTGCATGCATGTGTATTTCAGTTCACCGTTTCTCAGATACCCAGTGTCTGCGTGCAGCATTACACACATATTTGTAACCTTTAGTTTTAATTATAGCTAAATACTATATGGACATACATATAACTATAACACCTTTTTAAAGGAGCGTTTGCTGAACGTTCTTCGGGAAGCTGCCATTTCCTCGCAAAAGCGATGGCATAGAGAGAATATTATTTGCAGGCAAAGAAAGTTGGACGACGTTGCGCATGAGCAGACAATTATTTGTAGGCAGTTAATTGCAGGTCACGTGCTAGGGTCTCGGCTAATGAGAAGGAAGCTGAATTTGGATCAAATGATAACTAATATTATGCTCCATAGTGCGGTAAGAGTGGGAGTTTAAGAGAATTACCTTCTGGACATGGCTTGCAGTCAAACGGTCTTTTCCCCGGGTGCTTCATTGTAATGGACAAAAGTTCCAAAGGTGCATTTTCGGCAGCCGTCATTTACAAAAAGCCTTCGTGTCCGAATAGAAACCTCCTGAAAGAATAAAGGATCAAAAAAGATTACTGGCAAAGGAAAATAATAGGTAGATGTGATACATCAGAAAACTTACTGGGATTAAATGCTTCAACTCTCAAGATATATTGAACTGACGATAGACAATTTAAGTTTTATCAAAAAGTTCGCTCGTTACGTTACTTACTACGTGATGGTTAGTGAAATGAATTAACCGTCAAGCATAGAATTACACGACGCAGTTCCAACCGACCAATAAGGTGGCGTCATTAAAACAGCCACGCAGTTCCAGAACCAAAAATAGATTTCAAATATATTTCATAGGAACAGGGCCATGTATGGGGGATTCGCTCTCTTAGCTTATTATCTCTTGAAATATGAGAAATAAACCAATGCAGGAATGAGGTGGATGAATCTGGACCAGTTTTATAAAACACTAGTACTTATACCTGAAAATTGGCTTGAATTTACCGCTCTTGGTTGCTCTCCAAAATCTTTCTGAAATATGGTAATGTTGTGAAAGGAAGAAAACTGGTGAAAAGAGGTAGTGACGGTGTCACGCTATCTCAAATTAAATGAAATTGGCAATGTTATCAATTGCTAAATAGATTTAAATAGCGGACGTCTGATGAACTCGCGTATAAAACGTATGTTCTCTAATTGTTTTCCCTTTCCTCAATTTTATCCCTTTCTACAACATTACCATGTTCGGGAAAGATTTCGGTGGCATGGGCAGCCACGCACGGAAAATTATCTTGTGCTGCATGGGAAGTACTTGTTGTTGTTGTTGTAAACTCGAGCCTAAAGTGTTAAGTAAGTACCTAAGTACGCCGGCTATAAGCAAACATCTAACGACGACCCTTAATAAATAATTTCCACTCTTTAAATACCATCAGCTGCATATAAATACTCATAACACTTAAAATTAGTTCACAAAACGCATACTAAAGACCTAAACTGACACAACACTACAAATAGCAAATCCCAGAGTAAGCAATTATCCAAATCTATGACATTGCTTTAATTTTGGGCATGCGTTTGCGTTAAACAACTTTAAAAGTTTTGTTTTCAATGGACATGAAATTCGCGGATTTCATAATGCGCCGATCAATTGCATCACGTGCACTGAAAAAAAATAATTTAGAGAAAATATATTAACGAGTTGTGGTTTAATTGCTGTTTATCTAATTTATAGATAGGTAGTAGCGTAAAGCATTTTCAAGGAAAATACCGATGCAAGGGCTGAAATTCGATTTGGAGCTAAAACTAACGTGTCGTCATTGTCACGTGATATTTATTCTGCTCGCCTAAAAGGTAGTATCATAATAAAGTATAATATATGTGTGTTGAAGCCACAAATGTAATAACTGACCACAAATGTAATGAAGCCCTTAAATGTAATACAAATTGGTAAAAAAATACACTGATTAAATTAAAACCTTCAAATGCTATCAAAACCGTGTTTCTCAGATGAGCGCCACCCTCAGTAAAAGTCGGACAGAAATAAGCGCCGCGGTGCTCTTTCGAAAAAACAAAATATTTCATTTTTTTTTCGAAATGGAACCGCCCAGTTCGTAACAGTCGCACATAAAAAAAGGAAAACGAATAAGGTTTGCGGCGCTATTTCGTAAAAACTTTATTTTCTACTGCATTCAACCCATTTAATCCAATTAACTCTGTTAATTCGAAAGACTGCCGAGGCGCGTATTGCTAAGGTTGTTTGAGGGCGGCGCTTATATTGTATTTTTCGAAAGAGCGCCGCGGTGCTTTCTGTCCCGACTTAAAATCGAGTATATATGGTTTTCATAGCATTAAGGTCGTTCAATTACATTAGTGATCAATTCTTATTACATTTGAGGGCTTAATTACATTTGTAGTCAATTATAGCCAAATTCGTTGTATCGCGCTGCGCGTTTTGCAAACTTCGAAGGAATTTTGGGTCTTTCTGTTCCGTCAATCATCTTAGCGGACCTCTTAGGAAACAAATGTTTACTTGTGATTGATGCATTTCCATCCACTTTGTTTGTTTCTTTGTTTCAAGGTTCGCTGCTTGTGATCGCCCCGTTTCGCATTGTTTCAGGCAGCGATCGACTAGTTTTCTCGGTAACATACGCTGCTATTAATTTTCGGCCGCCATGTTGGTGCCTCTCAGAGGTGTAACAACTTGGCGTCACCATACAAAGGCTTTATAAAATTAGATTAAATATATCTCCGAATATCTCGTATGTGAAAAATTGCACCGACTTGAAGCACATCAAGATCCTTTGTGTATTAAACGTCTTTCATTTCCCAGATTCTGGACTTAATCTATTGAACGGTTTTGGTTTTTATTTTCGATGGCGTGACAGTGAAAAACAGCTATACGTACTTCTAGTACAAAAGGCGAACATGACGTTCTAAATGTTGTAGCTAAAGCGATTTTTCCTCATCACTGTCCACTCAATAATCATAGGATTGCTGTCAGTTATTTGGTTGACTTGTGTACGTTTCGTCATTGCCGGAACTTAAACTGTACCTGAAATTTCCAGCCTTTAGTGACACCGTTTTACTCCAAAATCAAACAAATATAGGTTTGGACTCAATGAAGATATGTTACCAGTGACCTCGAACAACAGTGTAGCTTATTAGTTCCTTTCTCTTTACCGTATTAAATTCTGCATGGAAAAAAGTATCAACCAGTGTCTTATCGTTGTCTTTAGATAGATACTTTCGTATTCCAGGAATAAGTACACGCCATCTAATACTACATGTAAGTACCTTTAAACCATAATGAGCACAGGGCTGACTAACAATGTAAACATATCCCGACGATATAATTGTGCAGCTTTCATAAACTGCGAATAAATTTACCTGCTGGGCACTCTAAGCATTTGATGGTTTCAGCAGAAGCATTAACGTACGTCCCAAATTCACATGGGAGTAATTTATAACGTCCAGCACTTTGATTGGCAAATCCAGATTGTTTAAAAGCTGCTTTCATTTGATCTCTAATCCAGTAACTTTTTTCAGAAGTGACGATATCAGAAATGACGTTATATTCAGAATCGTTCTGTGCTAATTCCCTAATGTAAAAACAAAAATTATAAAAAGAAAAATCAATCACCATCTAAGAGCTAATGATAGAGAAAAAATAACTGCACACATTCAGATTTCTGATATCTTTGTTGTTGTAATGATGAATTCACTCACAGATGAATTGCGCAGTTACGTTCGTCATCCCTGAATTTCATAATCTCAATTTTTCCTTCATTAAAACTTCTATTGAAAAAAGCGATAGAAAGATGATAGGAGTCATAATCAAATAAGAATAAAAACAGCAGATCCTTGTTTCAAGAATAACTTTGCACTCAAACTCGCATGACAAAGAGCCCGGCCGCAACAGATCAGACGCCGACAAAACAGCCGCCTTTTTTTCAGCTTCAATCAAAGACATTATATATTTTAATATGCAACTACATTACATGCACCATAGACCATACTTACATATCAATCGTAAGGTTGTCAATGCCGTAAAAAGATCGGAGACTGACAGTCTTTATTTTTGTTCGTATCATATGTCTTAAACAAAAAAAGGAAGAAACAATATATGATTATGGTCCATGATCGAATTTTCAAGGTTTTGATTTTTTAGCATCGTATGTGTATCTGTTATGTATTCTTTTTTTTTTTAAGTCAAAACAAAAGAAGAAGAACTGGCAAAAAAGTGCGACTCAGAGTTTACAAGCTTTGTATTATATTTTCCTACAAGAAGAATAGAGATATTTTCATCTCGCTTTGTGGTCAAGAGAGTAGTATTATAGAGCAATGTCTAGCTACTAAGTGTAAAGTCCATAGGAACCCTTTAGTTTTTTCTTAAGTACATGTTTTACTATAGCCTGGTCTACACCAATGATAACAATATTAGCAACAGTAACTGAAAATGAAAAATAACAACACAAAACAAAAAAAGAAAGTATCAAAGCAGGACTGCTGACCTACAACTGTATTCTACAAAGTTTTAGTTTTGAGCGATTTCATTGTTATTACCAAACTTTATCTTTGACACCTGCTCGTTCCTGAAATGCTTCCCGCTTTTGTTAATTCACTCTCCGCATTTTTCCCTAGTCCTGTTCCTTAGATTATTTTCCTTATTTGCTGCCTATTTATTGGATTATTTTTTCCCTGTTTATCATGAAAGAAGGGAGGATCTCCACCTCCTCCACCTGACTTTGAACGCGTGTTATTTAACCACAATGCGTACAAGCCAGGTGGAACACTTCCAAAATATATATCGGGCACCATTTTGATCTCTGTCACGCGCAAATGTGCCTATGTCATTCCCATCGTCTCAGCGTCTTCTCGTTTTTCAATATGGTGACCTCAGAAAACAAAAAGACCCTGGGGACAAGCCACAACAGCTAATTGGGTGGCGGCGAGGCATTGGATGCGAATGCGAAAAAAACTGGCATAATCCTAGGTGTCTACTGAGGTGTACGTCTACATATTATTTCTTTTACTTAGAAAAAAATAGGCACACTTGAGCAATTGTGTCATATCATAAAGTCGAAGATCGTGAAAGGATAGAAATCCCATCACTTCCCTTTTAGAAATGATTTATGCCTTTCTCAATGGTCAAATCCCAGCCCCAGTGTAGTAAATCCCATTTTCCCAGTATATAAAAAGGCAAGACATTGCTTTTACTTTAGTGTATCAACTGCTTACATTACAAGGTTACGCGGAATTGTGAATGCATGTGATCCAATAGTCTCCACGGGATTATCTGAAAGCATTCTGAAAAACAAGAAAGAAACAAGTCGACAAAAAAAATGATATCATGTAAAGGAAAGACACGGGCGAGCAAAAATAACCCTCAACCTAAATTACTACGTTTCTTAGGTTTACACTTATATTTGCTTGGCGAGGAAAATTCCCCGCGAATCTTTAAACATAACTTGATTGAAATGGGGGGAAATATTCACATCCTGTGATTTGATCAATATCGGAGAAA